CACAGCTACTCAGGAGGCTGCGGCAGGAGAATTGCTTGAACCAGGGAGGTGGAGGTTGCAGTGAGCTGAGATCGTCACTCCAGGCTGGGTGACAGAGAAAGACTCTGTCTCAAAAAACAAAACAAAACAAAATCTCATAATGTTCTAAGAAAGCTTACGAATTTGCATTGGACCACATTCAAAGGCGTCCTGGGCTGCATGGAGCCCGCCCGTCGGACAAGCTTGCCTTAGAGAAAAGGTGGCCACAGCTCTCATCTCTCAGTGAGAAGCCTGAAAGCCCGGAGCTGCTCCTCTTGCTGAGGCCTTCCCTGCTCGGCACAGACTAGAACGTTTTCTGGGGACGCAGGTGGACCCTCAAAGGCTAAAGTGAGCTGCCTGTGGACCCTGCGAAGCGTGGCTCTCATACCTACCTGTGAAAAATAAGTGCCTCTTGGTGGTCTCCTTTCTCTTCTCCAAACAGGGGTTCAGCAGACGTAGCAGCTGCAACACGCGCTCCTCCCGCCGCGACTCTGTGAGGCAGGCGTCGTTCATGACGAGGTAGGGGTAGATCTTGCCATTGTGCCCCCGGATGTAGAGCCGCCGGGCTGCGGTGTTGTGCTTCTGCACAATCTCCACCCGGGGCATGAACCTACCAAAGCGAGAAGCGTGAGGCGCGCCCTGAGTCTCTGTTACCAGTCCTTGTCTTGAAAAGAAACTAGAGTCGTCAGAACTGTCACAGGAAACAGACTGCGTAGGTCAGCGGCAGTTTTATCAATTTATCTGTACCCTGTCTCATCCTGATATGTGGAAATGGAGTCACAATATTTTAAATTCAGCAGCCAGAGATGGAAATCGAGGAGGGCCAGCGGGCCAGCACAGGAGCTAGCTGGAGGAAAGGGCAGCTAACCTCTGGCTGTATGGGAAAGCTGAGCTGCGTCTGGTTCAGAAATAAACATGAAACACTTTGTTAAGGGAAACCACTTCAAAGCCCTTTCTGCATTTCAAATGAGACATAGCCTGCTCTGGGAAACATTACAATCGTCCGATTCTGCCTGAATACTGTGCTTCGAGTGTTTACAAAAGATGGGACACGCTATGTTTTGTCAAGTTCTATGGTGACTCAGAAGAAGGTCTGCTGAATGCAAACCCGAACTGCATTGAGGGCAGCTAACCGGTCAGTGCGGGCAGAGCTTCCAAGGTGCCTGACCACTTAAATCTGAGAATCATCTTATGTTCTCCCATGTCACAGAATCTGTGTCCCAAATTCCACAAAGGGTCCACCCCGGAGCTCCCACGGGTCTCCAGGTCCATGGAAGCCGTGGTTAGTTCCACCTGCCAGGCTAGCCCACTCACCGTGCGATCTTGATGTAATAATGTGTCGGCTTCGGCATCAGAAACTCCCCGGGAATCTCCACTTCGGCTGTCTGTGCCGAGAAATTGCTCAAGAACCGGCACTTTTCCTCTATGAGGAAGAATTTGGGGAGTTGCCTGGTTTTGGCCTCCAAGATTTTGATCCACTTTTTCAACTTAGAAATAAGATTATGAAGCTTCATGGATCCTGGAACACTGAAGTCAAAATCTTCAAAATAAAACATGATTAAAAATGTTTTTAGTCATCTGGGCCAGTTCTAAGTCACTGCAAAAAAAATAAAAATAAAAAATGCTCAAGCCGCCACCAGCTATGAATGACAGGTTTGATACACGGTGTGGAGCAAAACAGTTTATGCCCTTTGCCCCCTAAAAGGCTGAAGGAACAAGAGAAGCTCTGTCAGGGACCTCCCACTGTGTGGAGAGGAAGAGAAAAACAGGAACTGCCAGCCTGAAACCCTGTCCCCAGCCCCAGGCCCTTTAGGGAATGGTGTCATTGAGGCAAATTCTACCACAGTGCGTGAGGCTCAGACTCTGGGAGACACAGGAGCTTGCGGGCGGCCTGTGAATCCCAACAACCAGACGCCCGTGTTGCCAGGGCCCAAAGACCAGTATCCAATGGCAGCCCCGCCTCTGAGCACCTGTGTCATATGGAGCCCTAAGGCCTCATGTCAAAGCCAATATTGTAATCCATGTGAGTCTAAGGCAGGGGAAAGAGCCACCCAGGACAAAGTGCTAGATTCTAAATGAGCCATGAGAAGGAACATGCAAGATACCAAAATGGCAAAAGCTGAAAACATGTTTCACTGAAGCAATTCAAAAATCTCTGGTCAATATATTTCTCAAATTTTATTGAAACTCAATGTTTAAAAGACCAATTATATTAAAACATCTTTCTGTAAAAAACCTTGACTTCCTCCCAAATGAGCGCCAGTGCTGGAGGGAGCCTCGTCACCCTAACTCACCAGGGCGACCAGAGGTCGGGACGAACCCAACAGCTTCTACAGCAAAGCAGAGGCCCTGTGGGAGCCACAAGGAGGCACCGTCCCCAGGCTGCCCCAGGGCTGGTGTCCTGAGCCCAAAGAGAATACTGGCTGCGTCGTCGCGGCAGACACACCAGCTCAGAGCTTGGGGTACGCTGCTGAACCTCTCAGGGCCTCGTTTTTCTAACCCATGGGACAGGAGTAGGAATAATTTAACACCTACCGTGAAAGGATGAAATTAAACGAGGTAGCGCACAAGAGGCGCTTGGTGTAACACCCTGCTATTCGAGTGGCCTGACCATCCCTGCCCACGAGTGATAACACCCTGCTATTCGAGTGGCCTGACTATCCCAGTCAACATGTGAATTTGGTTGTCCACAAATGTCATCAGTTTCACGAAAGCCAATGTATTTTCTTGTGTGCTTTTTCCAATGGCACTTGTCTTGTTTCCCTTTCATTTTAAGCTCTGGCACCTCCCTCCTCTGCATCCCTCACAGTGCCACGACTCCGCATGGGCAGGTGGCTGGAGAGGCACCTCCAGCCACCAACGTGAGATCCAAGGTGAGCATGAAGGTGAGATCCCTCAGCAGAGCTGCAACAGAGACAGACGCCACCGCCAAGGATGCAGGCCACCTCACTGTTCCCTCTCCACACAGGACCAAAAGGTGCCACCAAACTCTGATCTAGTTCTTTTTTTTAACTCTTACTTTGAAATTCCTAGCAGGAAGTCTCATGTTCCTAAACCCCTCCTCCCACATCAGTGTCCTATCAACCCAGTGTGATGCCAACACCAAAAGGTGACATTGGCACAGTCCAAACAGCTGATTCAGACTTCACCAGTTATGTGTGCACGTGTGTGTGCGCGCAAGTGTGTGTATGCACACACACCTCTGTGTGGTCATGTCATGTGCACATGGCTTGCAGAGCCACACGCACAATCAGTTGCTGAGCTGCACCATCAGCACGGGACGCCCTAGGTCACCCTGCATGGCCACACCTACCTCTCCCCTGCATCACAAACACCTGGCCACCAAGAAACCCTTCCGGTGATGCTTCACAAATAAGAATTCTGCAGTACACATCCTTTCCAAGTTGGCCTTTTGCACTCAGCATAATTTCTTTTTCTCTTTTTTTATGAGACAGGGTTTCACCATGTTAGTCAGACTGGTCTTGAACTGTTGACCTCAGGTAATCCACCTGCCTCGGCCTCCCAAAGTGTTGGGATTACAGGCGTGAGCCACCGCACCCGGTCATCAGCATAATTTCTTTGAGATTCACCCACGTTACAGTGTATCAGTAATTAACTCTTCATTGCTGAGGACGGGTATACTTAATGCATTCAATACCCTCTGAAAGGGCAGTTTTGACTTACTACAAATAAAGTAACAAATGCTCTGAATATCTGCGTACAAGTTCCCACATGAAGGGACGTCTTCGTTTCTGTGGCATAAATGGAATGTGCCACTTCTTTTTCCCACCTCTTTACCGACATGTAGTTGGTAGCCAACCACAGGCAGCTCAGCGACAGAATCGGACTGCTTTCCATGAACGTAGCACAGAGAGACTGAAACGGCCGCCCCTGTGAACGGGAGAGCAGGAGACGGACAAGTGCTGGCTGCGCGTGTCTGAACGCTGCTGCAGTCTGAGATGAGTCAGGACCCTCATGGCTGGCTTTTCCCAGTTTAAGTTTTGTGATTTTTTTTTTAAAACATCAAAAGCCAGATGATCTGTTCCAATTCTGATTCTCTACTTTTTTGATATAATAATGTGGACATTTTAAGATAAAAGCACGCTGAATATCACTATTTCTTTTAAGTAAAATATGACTTCCATAAAACTTTCATCTCAGACTCTTCTGTTCTCAGGGGGAGAAAGACCACACATCACAAGCACTTCGAGAACAAGCCTGAGACATGAAAGCGCTTTGCATGAAAGACGGGGAGGATGGCGCTTGCGTTTTACTTCCAAAGAGCATCTCCCTCAGCTGTGGGTTCACCTAAGGTGAGCCCAGTGTTACCCTCAACGCCCAACTCATACGTCACGAATGGGAGCCGCACCCCCAGACTGCCTGGAGCCACTGCAGGGCATCCGGGCACTTCAGACAGATTGATTCAACCCCGGTCACGCTGTCACTATCGATGTCCTTTCTGATTATGGAGATAAAGATTTTCTTTCATATGATTTAAGTTTTTTTTTTTTTTTTTTTTTTTTTTTGAGACAGAGTCTTTTTTTGCTCTGTCACCAGGCTGGAGTGCAGTGGCACATCTTGGCTCACTGCAACCTCTGCCTCCTGGGTTCAAGCAATTCTCCTGCCTCAGCCTCCTGAGTAACTGGGATTACAGGCACGCACCACCACACCTGGGCTAACTTTTATATTTTCAGTAGAGACAGAGTTTCACCGTGTTGGCCAGGATGGTCTCAAACTCCTGACCTTGTGATCCACCCACCTCAGCCTCCCAAAGTGCTGCGATTACAGACATGAGCCACCACACCTGGCTGATTTAATATTAACTGTGTCCTCTAAGACACAATGGTCTTTAGAAGGTACTTTAATGATCACAAATGTGGATCACTTATTCTATGATTTAACCCATCAGTGAAGAAAGAATGGGATAAAGATCATTACAAAAGCACTAAGTAGGGTACTGCAGAGCAGCTGGAAGGTATGGTAGGGACCACGCTCTGGGCAGGTAAGAAAGAGAAGGGGGCCAGGCCAGGACAGCCCAGTGGGCCTCGGTCCCCCAAACCCGGGACAGGGTGCCCCCAGCCCAGCCTGGCCAGGACCCTTCAGGGCACTAAGGTGGAAGGGAAACGTATGAGCCCTGCTCCTTCAGGATGCCCCAGGCTGGCCCACAGCTCACAGGCCCTCACAGGGCCCCCTGATCCCAGCGCTGGGGTGGAGAGCTAGGCAGGGGCCTGCCCCACTTGTTGGTCAGTTGCCCACATGACACCGGGTGGCAAGTGCTGAAGACAGCAGCAGTGGCATGCTGAACCCAGACCAGGGCTGGCCCCAAGGCTGGAGTGCGCACGGTGTGGCCTGGAAAGATGAAAGGAGTTTCCCAGGCTGGAGGGAAACACCATGAGGGACGGGCTTCCCTCACTGGGGTAGCGGTTTCCAGTTTGCCCAAAATGGCAGGATTTCCATAGTATAGGTAGTACGAGCTCCACATCTTGGCCTGTTATCCAGCTTCTGTAGTCCCAGCTCCACCAGCTGGAGAATGAATGGGGTCTGCATGAACTCCACTCTAAACTGAAATACATGGCCAGTCACGGTTGCTCACGACCGTAATCCCAGAACTTTGGGAGGCTGAGGTGGGTGGATCAGTTGAGGTCAGAGTTCAAAACCAGCCTGGCCAACATGGTGAAACCCTATCTCTACTAAAAATAAAAAAATCAGCTGGGCATGGTGGCAGGTGCCTGTAATCCCAGCTACTCTCCCGAGGCAGGAGAACTGCTTGAACCCGGGAGGCAGAGGCGGCAATGAGCCGAGATCACGCCACTGTACTCCAGCCTGGGTGACAGAGTGAAAAAAAAAAAAGTAAAATAAATAAATAAACTGAAATACAGACTGTGGTGCTGATATCCTTTTCTTCTGATTGTTATTAACAATTACTCATAAAATTAAATGTTGTCAGACGACTGAGAAGCTCAGGAGGTGAACTGCTGGCCCTGGCAAGTATTGACGATGGAAATGAATCTGGAAAAGCAGAGCCCATCCAAGGTGGAGAAACCAGCATCTACTTGGATTTGCCACAGAACTTCAAGGTATTTGTGAGTGGCAATTCAGATGAATGCCTTCAGAGTAGTGGCTTTGAATACACCCTTTGCTTTCTCCCTCCACTTGTGCTGAACTCTGACTGCCAGATTATCCATCCTCCTCCCTAACATCATTCACACTTAGTGGCAAGTGGCTGCCACCAACTCAGCTATTTGCTCTATGCAAGCACTTAGACCACCTATGGGAGAACCCCGTGGCAGTGTGGTCCTGTTGGCCTGGATGCAGTTTCTGAAGCAACGGACCCTGGTGCATCCGAATAGTGTCTCTCTCTCTCTCTGAGCTCAAGATGGGTTCTCAGAAGAAAGTGCAGAGGACAGCTCAACCTCTCCCAACACAGAGCTAGATTGTGGAGGAGCTGCTGGGTCTCACGTAGACCAAGAGGAAATTGTGGATGAGGGAGCTGTGTAGGATGTGGAATCACTGTCAAGTCTGATCCAGGAAATCTGGACT